CAAACACTGACCACGATTTCCTTTCTTTCTTTGTTTAATTATTTATCATTTAATCTTTTAACATAATTATTGTTCCCGAGTCACAAATGGGAAAGAAAACAAAAGGAAATCACATTTGTATAGTAAAAATCATCTATTAAAACATAGAATAAAGCTGCAAAATGTATATGTCATTACGATTCATTTAGAAAACTTTAAACCTGAATTCACGTCTGAAGTTATTTAAAAAATGTATTTATTTAAACAGGTCTCTCTTGTAAAAGAGTCCTCGTGGCTCCATTAGGCTAACCTGTATAAATAAAAGTTGAATGAAATTTATCAGAATGGGACAAGCTGTCATGTTAATTTCTGACCACTGGGTGTCGCTGTTGTGTGTTGAGTGCAGTATCCAAAGAAAACCAGAAAAATCTCCGTGTCAAATATTCAATCACAAAAAAGTAAAATAAATAAAAAAGATAAATAATATTAAGCTTTGATCATCTTCCTTTTAAAAGTTTTAGTTTGTAATGTATTATAAAAATATACATTTTAATGGTTGATTCTGTATTAACTGTTTATTCCATCACAGTGTAATACTGTTTGGATTTTTACATGGAAAACTTTTTCTTTAAATTAAATAACCAATTTAACACATGGAACACTTAAACTAGTTTGTTATTGGTTAAAGGCAGTTTTATAATACAGAACAGGGGTCTGTAACCTTTTTGATCAAAAGAGCCATTTCTACCCGTCACTTACTAAACAAAATGTGTCTTGAGCCACAAAACCTGCTAGAACGGTCATTATCAACTGGTGGCTCATGGGCCACTTCAAATTTGTATCAAGGTTTGTTTTTTTTGTTTGTTTTGTTTCTCCAGCCAGTGGGGTGACTTTATGAAACAAAAATGATATAATGAAATTTAACATTTATTAATGTTTTTACATTTTAGGGCTAAAGACCACATTCACGTAAACAGGGGGGAAAATATATTTATACCAATTTTATCAAAACAAATGTAACCCTGAACATTGTGGGTTTATGAGTTTTCCTTTTAATTTAATAAAATAAAAACAATTATGCATTTCACTTTAAAGTAATAAAGTATAAACTTAAAGTGTGTTTAAATGTTAGGTAATTTTGTTGGATATGTAAATGTGACTTTATAATTTTTTCATTGAAAAACCAATTTTGTATTTACTTTAACTTTAATTACATCTATCTATTAATTATTTGTGATATTTCTATAGGCAGCTTCTCCTAAAGGTACTCCAAAAATTTCTGGTGGGTTTGAGAGAAGGATCCTACTGAAAGGCCGGAAGTTGGATTAATGACATAGCTAAAGCTAATCAGCATTATTTCTCCTAGTTTTAGTAATTTATTTTAAACATTTGCAGAAAAAACTGCTAAATCTTGCCATTTCTCTTTACTGTGGGTAAAAAAAAACAAAAAAAAACATTTTGTATTATGTTTGGCCAAAGCTTCAAGGAGCCGCAGATTAAAATTGGGATTTTATTTCCGGATAAGAGCCTGTCTATCTTTTGAGGCTAGCAACTATTTTCTGTCTGTATTGGATTATGGTGACATTTTATACATGCATGCTCCTCTTAAATGTCTTTATTTGATGTTTATCATGGAGTTTTGATATTTATAACAGGTTTAAAAGGTTTTACACATTATTGCACTTTATACAACTAGGTTGGATGGATGGCCTTGGCCACTCGTAGACTCCGCCATTGGCACATTTTTTTTTATAAAATATACTAAGACTTCTTCCTTCGTATTTGTTGGTCTTTATAAAGAGAAAGTCCTCCGGAGGATACTCTTCGTTGGGAAAACTTATTTTTATTTTCAGTGCCTAAAGTTTAAACTGAACTTGGAAAGAAATCTTCAGTTTTCTGCTCCATTTTCTTGGAACCAGTTGCAGAAATACATGAACCTAAAGGAGCTGTTGCCACTAAATGTGTTTAAGGCTGTTCGTACTGATCTGGAGAAGGAATTGTCTGTAAATGTTTTAACTGTGGAATCTTTTAATTAATTTGTTTATGATGGAGTTAACTTTTTCTGTTTTTGCTGTGAATGTTCTGTAACCGCCCTGTGATGGACTTGCGACCCGTCCAGGGTGTACCCCGCCCCTCGCACAGTGATTGCTGGACATGGGCACCAGCGACCCCCGTGACCCAAAGTGGAATAAGCGGGTAAAGATAATGGATGGATGTTCTGTAACCTCTGTGTGCTGCTGCCAGTCTTGGATTCTCAGGATTCTCTTGCAAAATAGATTTTTAATCTCAATGGGATTTTCCTGGTGAAAGAAAAGTTGAAAACAAAGTTGCAGACCTTTGATCTAGAAGATTTATAACATCCATCCCTTTTGACTCTAAATGAATTTGTGTTTAACAAGAATTTGTAGATATTGATATTGAACTATAAGCTTTTACAGAACTGTCAAAAAAAATAAAAGCGATTAGCTGAAACATGCAGGACACTTTTATAAATATTTTAATTTATTTTTGGTAAACAGAACTCTGGTCACAAGAAACTTATGAAGTTGCAATTTATGCAACAAAGTTGCTGAAACATCTCATCTCGCAGTAAATCTCTGCCACAACGCAGAACAAAACAGTTGAGGAAGCAGTTTATTCCTGCAGTTAGTCTTTTAAATAATAATATAAAAGTCTAATGTAATGTTTACATGTGTCAGCATGGATGTATAAGTCTAAAACATCGAAGTCCTAAAATTAGTTCAGATAAACAGTTTTATTAAACATTTTATTTAAAGAAAATGAAACAAAATCCTTGTCAGCATAAAAGTGAACACAGACACAAATTGCAGTCATCTTTATGTAAAAGGCAAAAAAGGGGATAAAAAACAGGTAAAGAAGAGGTAGGTGATATGGACTGATTGTCTACAGTACATCCAAGGGTCGTCCAGAGGCTTAAAGGAGCTAGTTTTTTGTTTAAAGACACACAATCAGAGAAAATGGGAGTAATTTGCTCAGTGGTTTCAATCTGTAAAGGTCCTGTTCTGTGAAAGTCCCTGAAGTCCAACCATTATGTGTTTGTTTGGTTTGGACTGATGCTCTGAATGAGACACTGCATCCAGTGGATTGAAAATGATAAAGTTGTTAGAATTCACAAATTTCTTCTTAGACAAAAAGGTGTCAAGTTTTCTGGAACCCTAAAAAAAAGGGAAAAAAAAGACCAAACTATCATGTAAAATCCTTGGAAAAACTATTTACTGGATTGGAATTATAACCAGGAGGATCAGGTGGTATGAAGTCCTGATGTTCAGCACAAACCGCTTCCAAATATATATATATATACATTCTTCTTCTCCAAGCCTGCAGGCCTCACAAGGTCCATTTCATCCACCAATAATTTCAAACGTCCAGGTCAGAGTCACTGTCGGTGACTGAGAGGAAAGTCTCTCCATCAGCGCGCTCTGCGCTGCTGTCAGGGCTGCAGTCTCCTCCGCTGAGCGCGTGAGCTCTCTCTGGACACACCCGGTGGTGCTGCAACCTGAAACAATGGCAAAGTCATGGTCAGTTTATCATATTTCATTGAAATCCAACTCAAAAATGATAAAAAAAAAAAGATGTTTTCTTAAAGAAGCAGTTGCGTCAGACGCTTTGGAACAAACTGATAAATAACAGCAACAACTTTCAGGCTGGATCACTGACCCATACATTATAGAGATGAGCGAAGTAAACAAACAAATAAAATAAAATAATGAAACATTGAAAATGTCACTCTCAGAAATGAAAGGAAAAAAAAACATATTGTAAAGCTGTGCGTTTTACGCACGAATGGCTCTTTTACGCGCAACTTTGGCGTTTTGATTAATGGAAAATAAGAAGAATGGACTCTAAAATAAAGTCTTTTTTAAATGTAAAATAAAGTTGCAGTGATTCTATAAAGCATTCCAGCCGTAGATGTTGGAATAAGTCCAGCTGTCTTTCCAACCCTCATGGCCACACCAACCTGTTTTTGGCTGCTGCCGCGCGGTCTCTCTGTCTCCGGTTTTTGAACCAGTTCCCAACTTGTGTTGGTGTCAGTCCAGTGGCGTGCGCGAGCTCTCGCTTCTTCCCCGGGTTTGGGTAGGGGTCCTGCAGGTACCACTCCCTCAGCAGCCCCCGCGTGCGCTCCTTGAAGCAGTGCGTCTTCTGCTCTCCGTCCCAGATGGTCCTCGGCAGAGGGAACTTCTTCCTCACGCGGTACTTGTCCACGGGTCCGAGCGGCCTCCCGCGGAGCTTCTCCGCCTCGCGGTAGTGCGCCTCGAGCCACATCGCCTGCAGCTTTCCGTGAGACGCGCGCGTAAAGCGGTGCGTCTCCAGGATGCGGTAGAGCTCGCGGAAGCTGCCCGCGTGGAAGGCCACGACGGCGCGAGCCCGCTGCACGGACTCGTGCTCGGAGATGGAGTCGCGGCCGTCCGCAGTCACCGGGAGCGACCAGAGGAAGCGGGCCAGCCGCTCGATGTCTCCGGTCTCCTCCAGAGTCTCGCACACGCTCGCGATCTGCGCCGCGGAGAAGCAGAGTCCCGGGAGAGCCCGGGGAGGGCCCGCGGCGGGAGGCTCCTCCGGTGACCGAGAGCCAGGCAGGTGCGGGGGGACATCCACGAAGTGGGGCAGGAGGAGGCGCGAGGCGGAGAGAAAGTCGAGCGGAGACCTGAAAACCATCTGGATCTCAGGAGACGGTTCAGAGACTGACAGAGAAGTGCCAGACTGAGACTCTTTAGCTCACCTGGAGTCAGGGAGGACCCTGCAGCTGACTCCTCATTGGACCCCCCCGAGCTGGACTGACATGACAGAGCTGTCAATCAAACAGAGGATTTATCTCTTGATGCAGGAGCACAGAGACACTGGTTTCTCTCTTTTAACACGGAATTCTGCATTTAGAGCTAAATTCAACTGATGCAGATAAATCATGGAACTCTTTTCAGTTCTCTCTGCAAGAAACCAACAGTTTACAAACAAACATCTGAGCAGTTCCTTTAAGTGAGAAACATTTCGTCTCCCATCCAGAGGACTTCGTCAGTCAGCCTGCCAACCAGATCTGTCATGTTACAGTCTCAAAAGTAGGTTTTTAACATGCAAAACAATCAATCATCATGAACAACAATCCAATGTTTTAGACCTGATGGCCCACTTACTACTCACAGAACCAGCCTGAGGACAAGCACAGTTTCTTTGAGAGATGCAACAAATGTTGGTACCACTTTACAATAAGGCTCTCCTTATAGATGGCAAATAAATAGTTTATAGATACGTTATTAATTCCTCTATAAATGATCGATAATTGTTTATTATGCATTAATTAAGGGTGACAGAGACAAAACTGACCAGTTTGTTGCCAAATATTGAGCCAAATCTGTTCACCTATATATTTCATCTAGTTGTTATATTAAACATTTCAGACTAAGTTCTACCTTGTAAGCACAATAAGCATTTGTAAACCATTTTTTTTAGGATATAATAGCAGTGATAAAGTACAATATATGCTAAAGAAATAGGTTTACAAATGCTTATAGTGTGCACAAGGTAGTAACTTTAATATGACAACTCTAGATTAAATCAGGAGCAGCTGATTAACATCTGAAAAGCTCAAGTAACGAGACCTCAACTACAGCCCCAAATCCCAAAATGAGTTAAAAAAGGAGGTGCCATGGGTGCATTCCCGTCTATCTGGCAGCGGTGCTCAAGTGCCTGACTGAGATCCTGGAGCTGGCGGGAAACTCAGCTTGTGACAACAGGAGGACTTGGATCATACCCCGGCAGCTGGCTGTCTGCAACGAAGAGCTCAGCAAGCTGCTGGGAGGAGTGACCATCGCTCAGGGAGGAGTTCGGCCCAACATTCAGGTGGTCCAAAGTTCAAGTGGACAGATCAACTTCTGCAACCAGTTTCTTGAGATCCGCTGTAAGACAAGCAAGAGATCCTTCCTACCCACAGCCACCAGCATCTTTCTCTTTAATGAAATCAGGATGATGAGCTACTACATTTAATCTCCCTTTGGGATTAATAAAGTATTTCTGAATTGAATTGAAATATGCAGGTGGCAGATTTGACTCATTATTTGGCAAGAAACTGGTCAGTTTTGTCTCTGTCATGCTTAATTAATGCATAATAAGCGGTTATGCTTTATAAAGTGTTTAAATGGGGGCCGAGATGGTGTAGAGGCAGGGCAGCCGTCTTGGGACCCGAAAGTCCCAGGTTCGATCCCCAGTCACTGCACATCACGTGGCGTCTCTGGGCAGCACGTCTCATCCCCAAAATGTCCCCCGGCGCTTTCAATAGCTGCCCACTGCACCACCTGGTGGTGGATGGGTTAAATGCAGAGACTAATTTCACCATTGTATGGAAACATACAGTGCTGACATTGTGATGACATTATTATTATTATTATTATTAAAGTGTTTATAGATGAATTAGTAACATATCTATAAACTATTATCTAAGGGGAGCCTTATTAAGTGGTACCCAAATGTTTTTACTTTGTCCTAAAAACTTGTAAAACCTTCAAGCTGCCACTCCTCCAGTTATTTTACGATAAAAAACGGGAACGTGACAAACGACAAAACATGAGAACTTTGATTTACGTTAGTAGATAATGGCAAGAAAGTGTTCTTTTAGCAAAAAATGTGAAAAGAGTAGATGATAAAAGCCAACAAGACTAAACCTTTCATTGCTTCTCTGAGCTCATTAGTAGTTTTGGTAATAAATAGTCACAGAGGGCAAAAATGTTTCTCAGCTACCTTTGAGTGAGCAGTGATAAATGTGTTTTGACCCAAACAAACCTGAAATAAACTGCACCTTTTGCAAAAAAATAAAAAAAATAAAAATGCTGACTGATCACCTGAAAGCGGCCTCCCATCACTCTAATCACTTTTCTCTAATATTCATAAATTTAGAGGTTTAGGATTAGTGTCGGGGCCACGCAGCCTGACATTATTAGTGTAATGGAGCAGCATATTCAATCAACATTAACATTTGGCTAGCCTGGACCATATGCTTCGGAGTGTGCCACTTTTCACACTGATCTCTGGGTTTATTGTGCTCCACATGTTGACGAGGCCCCAATCAGGACAAACACAAAAAAACAACAAGCATCACATCTTAGAGATTTCAGGTCGACAGACAAACCTTAAAGAAAGCGTTAAGATAACATCAATTTAAAAAGTAATAAAAGCAGAACTTTGTGCAAGTGGATGAAGCTTATGTGCAGATCAAAGTGGATTCATCAAACACACACACACACACAGAGCAAAAAACACTTTTTTTAAACTAAATCTCGCCCAGCGCTGTCGTGTTTCATCACATTCAATTGGCAAGCAAAAAGGGGGTCACCCCAGTTTAAAGGGTTAATGCCAATTACTCCCAGCAGACAGATGTCCAGGCTTGGTGGACTGAGTTGTCATGTGCCTTTTTTTTCGTCGCCATCCTGGATTAATCAAATCAAATGACATTTAAACACAAATAAAGTTCGTACAAACTTTAACATTTAACATGCGACTAACAATGTGTTAAAAAGATTAAACGTGCACTTTGATTAAGTTGATTTTGCACAGACTTAAGAACGTTTTCAGGTTTCACATGATTTTCAGGCGCCCGCTGAAAAGTCCTAAAAGTTTTAAAAACAAAATCTGACCGGAGTCATTTTCTGTAGTTGGAGACGTTAACCGAGGAGTTAGTTTCAAGCTTTAAACCCCCTGAGATGCTGCATTCATGCACACATTTACACAAGCTGTACTCCCTTCCCTCCTGAGGGTCGTTCGGATTGTTGTTAGTACGGCTAAATAGAAGTTTTGATCACATGAAGGTGTTAATTAAAGTGAAACTGATCAGGCTTTCTGCTCCACAAAATGCTGTGCTCCTTGAATCCCCTATAGAGGTCTGCAACCTTTACGATCAACAGAGACATTTCTAAATTAAATGTGTCCAGAGCTGCAAAACCTGCTACAACTGTCATTATCAACTGGTGGCCCATGGGCCGCTTTACGTTTGTTAGAGAGGGCTTTTCTGGCCAGCAGGGGAGAAATTATAAAACTAAAAACATCCAATGATTGTTAACATTTATCGATGTTTACAATTTGAGGTAATTTTACTTCTTCCTTTTGGGTCACTGGTGCCCATATCCAGCAGTTACTGTGCGAGAGACGGGGGACACATCCATCACAGAAGACTGGATTCTTCTAAAGAAATGTATATATGTATATACAAAC